ATCCCCCTTTAACACCCAGTTGTATGTCAATACCCTTTTCACTACTTACTGGGTAAGTATCTGCTGGATAGTTGCCGTACTAGTCAATAGTGCCTGAAGGATAGTGGAACAGTTATATTACTCATTTGATAAGGCTGAACAAATCTAGTATGACTGGCTTACCAATAATCATACATCGCATCTGTTCGCGTGAGAGGAGAGCGCACTGTCCGTCGGTCGTCGGCCGTCAAGCCTGAATTCCCCATACCAGCGACCGCCTAGGAGAGGCCTAGATTAAGTTTAGTTTTTAGCCTCTCTTTGTAACTGCTAATACCGAGTCTGGCCATGTAATTTTATGAAGTAATTCTTAAATTAATTATCTACCATTAAAAACTATACCAAATCCACACGACTCCACTTCTTCCACCCCTCTTCATTTTAGCATCTAAATTTAATATTGAGGACAATAAAGCTCGAAGATCTTAACGTAAGTTTTGATTCCAAATTCAGATTTAAATTCAAATCTGTGCTACCGAATTTAAGACTATGGATGGACTTGAATATTTCTTAGTTACCAGCCCTAAGAGCTAGTGTGGTGTCCTTTATGCCAACTAGGAGCTACATACATATTAGCATTCTATTTACTATTCTCTAGATGTATGTACAATAGCTATGGGATCTGTGTTTTGATTACAATGATCTTTCTCATTTAATTTCAACACAACTCTCTCTTTATAAACAAGTATATATATATATAAATCTCCCTCTTTCTCTATCTAGTATTTTAAGCGTATTTTTGAAACCATATTCTGATATTCAGATATCACTTAACACATTGATAATCAATTGTTTCCTCCCAATTAAGTCTCCTTCTCCTATTAACTTTTTATTATGGAGGTGCAAGATAGGCCTATTCGATATTTATTTAATTTGATTGAATAATCTTTTAGGCTTTTTATTTCAAAGTTGTTGGTTTTTTATGATAATGGTGCTAATAAATTAATATGGAATAGGCAAGCATTGACAGTTTCGTGTTCAGTCAAAATTGAAAGGAAATATTTTTTAGTCTTCTGCTAATGTTAAATCCACTGTACCACAAATATGTATGTGCATGTCTCAGAAACTTTGGGGCCAGGTCAGGGTAGTTATTCAATTATCGGGATAGTGGTAGCACGAGAATTTGACAACACCTGAGTGAAGTGAAAATGTTGCTATCCACTGCATTAAGCCACATTCGTGACGACAACCCGAACTCCCTAAATGTTGGCTCTAAATGTAACTGTCGGTAAATTCTTTAGTTTTGGGCTTACGTCACGACAAATTTAAACTTTTTGCCATTTTTGGAAGAAACTTCTGACCCATCCAGCAGAGTTCACTGACAAAGTGAGACACATGCAAAGTTTTGAGTCGCGTTTGAAAAACTGCAAGCCTCCAACTGCCTCCGTCTGCTTCCCCAGTTGCATAACTCACGGCTAGTGCCTGAGATTTATGCGGCTTTGTGGCTTTTATTTGAGACGTCAACATGCAAAACTTGTTAGCCGCATCGTAATTATGACAGAATTAAGTTTTATATGCGTATGACTGCGGCTGTGACTGCGACTCGTCGAGTGAGAGTCAGAGTCGGAGTCGGAGTCGGCGTTGGACTGCACAGAAACAAACTTGCTGTCATTCGCAGTGCGGCCAAATGTCAAAAAATGCAACTGAAGTGACCACCGGAGTGCCAAGAGGGGTCCGGGACCACCACAGCACCACGGCACCGACAATCCCACCAACCACAACGTTTGTCATGTCAGCAGCTATGCGAGTTTCCTTCTAATCCCCATAACATGCCCACAGAAAACAAAGCAGCAGCATCGGGCATCGGGCGAAGCCCTTGTTGCCTCCCATAAAACTGTCAAAGTTGCGTGTGCGGAATATATTCGGATTCTTTTAGTTTATGTAGCTTACAGTGCATGAAAAATGTAATGAATAAACAAGAATTTATATACAAATACTCGTATATATTACAGCATGCCATTGAATTCATAGTTTAAATTCATCACCCCACCAAAAAAAAAAAAGGAGACATAAAGGTGTAAGAAATTGTGCACCGTTGACTAACCCTTTGATAAGCAAATATATTCCTCAATACCCTACTGTGCTTATATTCCTAAAAACTATGCATTTGGTGACCCTGTGACCATGGACATTGGTGAAAAAAAAAAATCTAAAAAGTTATCTTTGTCTGGCTCTAAACTATAGTATTTATAAAAAAATAAAAAATAAAACAAAAATAATATAAATAAACTATACACTCTGCTTTGTTTCCAATATACTATACTATAGCCTACTGTGCTTATATTCTTAAAAATGTTGCATTTGGTCATCCATGGCCAGAAAATTCTGGAGAAAAACGATCTAAAAAGTTATATTTGTCTGGCTCTAAGCTATTTACCCGTCACTGTAGCTTAATATAGAAATATTAATCAGGTATGGCCATGGGTCAGAAACTACACACCCTACTTTTGTTTGCAATGATTCTGGTTTCCAAATCTTGTATACCCTTTTCTTCTCAATAAGGACTAAACGAAAATCATCTTATTATAAAAAGATAGTCAAGGTTCATGTTATGAAAGGTCAGTCGCGTTCACGTTTATCACAGTAGTACTTATATATTTCATATTATACATATATTTATATATAAAAATTATACGCGATTTTTAATCAGAAAAATTAGACTTGAAAGTAAAGCTATATCCATCTGAATATTCAAAAGTAAGTGGAAAAAAAACCATGTCCAAATTTATTATTCTTTTTTATTCGGAATTCTAAAACCTGCAGAGCTGGCAAGTTGTTTTATTTTTGAACCACTATAGAAATTTGATTTGGAGAATGCAGATGAAAATAAATGAAAATCGTCTCAAAGGTGGCTAGAAAGTATGAATAATGTAATGAAGCCGCAGACGAAGATATTATTTATTGAAGTGTATTTACAACAGTTTATAATTTGCAGGCACTGTTGTCATTCGAAATTTGAAATATGCGATTCGAGTTGCTCGTCATTTGCGTAGCATTGCGTAGAATATCATATCTGTCTTCAAACATTTAGGAGACTGCTTCTGCATCTGAATCCGTGAACGGGGAAACCGGCCACATGTCAACGGAAAGTTCTACAAATCATGCAGACAATATGCATTGCATTTATTAGATATTACGGCCCGGATTTTCGTGCAAGTTGTGCCATTGACTTTGCAACTTTGTAGACGAACGACGAGCGAGCGAAACTCCAGCTCTGCAGGCAGCTGAGTTTCTGGCCCAGACTCTGATTCTGATTCTGACTCAGGCCAAAACCCATTCCCAGACCCATACCCTAAATTCTATTTGCTGTGCCCATAAAACAAACAAAGAAGTTTGTCGCATGTGCATATATTTACACTTCAGCATCAGTTACGAGTGCTCACTCGGTCTGTATATTGACAGCCCCCCATATCTCCACACATCACACTACCGGAAGTGCAACTCAAACAGCACGCATTGAAAGCTGCTGCTAAAACATAAAACTTTTTCAGTTTTGGTTGCTGCCATTGCCAATGCCACTGCCACTGCCACTCGGAAAAGTGGCACTTGTCTCTGAGACTCTGATGGTGGGCTCACTCTTCCAATGCAGCCTCAGCTTCAGTGCCGTTATCAGTGCAATCATATTTTCTTTTGTCTAGAAAGTTTTTCTTTTATTAAACGCTGTTTGCAGCAGCAGCCTTGAACGAACGAAGCAGGATACATACATAATGGCTTAAAGCTGTCCATACTTGCGCTTCGGTCTCTTTAATTTGATTCATTAAGCTGCTAAAGATCGATAGAAGCCCTGTTGCTAGCTTACGTGCAGTGCACAGTCATTTACTTTACTGTTATTTAGTGAATGTACGTGGCTGATGGAAGGCGATAGATAAAGACAGAGCGGGGCAATGCCGTCGACTAGACACTGTAATTATGGCTGTCGAGCGTTGTTTAGTTTTTCTTTCATTTTCACACAATGAAGCGCAATAATTGCTGCGATTAATGCAAATTTTTCTAGCACGTTTCAAAGGCAACGAGCACATAAAATTTTACTGCACAAAAGGCGGCACAGGACCAGACCACGCCCACGTCTACGCCCGGCAACCGCCAACCCCTTCACAGCGCGTGCCGTCGCCATGGCGCGTCATTTTAACGCTGGCAATGTGTATGCAAATGAGTTTCCAATGACTTTGCCCCAAAACAAAACTGAGCGCGCACCCCCAAGGATGTTGTCTGCTGCACTTGAACTTGGCTGCCGATGTGCATTATCCGTCCGGAGTTGTGTGTACATGTGTGTGCATGTACATCTAAAATAATACAAGGCAGCAAAAGTATTTTATGCTAAATTCGCACTTTTACTACAGCTTGGAACTACGGAAATACTAGTACTAGTACATAGTAGATTGTATGCATGCTTGCATTTGTGAGTGTGTGTGAGAAATTAAACCACATCATTGACGTACTGAGAGGAGAAGATGCTTGGTCTTGCGGTTGACTCGAATTGACCTTACTGCAAATACATATTCAAGCATGTTTCGAATTATTTCGATTAAGTTTGAAGCTTAAAGTTTCTGCAAGGCCAACTGATAAAGCGGCGGTATTTCATGGATTGGACATTTCCCTCCCAGCGTCCTACTTAACAATTAGCGGGCTTTATTTTTGCATTCCTTAAACTTTTGTTTCTTGCTTTCACATATGATGCGCTTGTAAAACTTTAAATGCTCGGTTCAGAAATGATCAAATCATTTATTGTTCTTAAATGTAAAGAGCTATCGCACCTCTGCACTATTTTTTTTATTGATTGCCTCGGCAATGTGCCGTTAGTTTACACAGTTTCCAAGATTCTAAGAAATTTAAACATAATTGTGGTTGAATTGGCGCACTTTTCAAATCTCTAAACAGTGCTAAGCAACGCTGAACGTCAACAAGCTGGCAACACTCACAAAATATTGGGTCTTTCCACTGATTGCATTACAGTGGGTTGGCAGCTCTAGTGACATATTTACGTAAACAGACGCAATAAAATCGCGAAATTTGATAATAATTAACACCGCAGCCTGCAAATGTCAAAGCATACATTAATAGGTAAGATGAATACATTGAGAGCGCTTTAAACTCATTAAAATGCATTTCCAATCTCCCCCTCCAGGCGGTGGCACTGGCTATATTGGTAGACACCTTGGCAAACATTTGTCCCAGCAAGGCTATGAAGTAACAGTAATTTCTCGCATGCCGGGCATAAAACGCATTACCTGGCATGAACTAGAAAAGAACGGCATACCCAGTTCCGTAAGCTCTGTTGTCAATTTGACCGGCCAGAATGTGTTAGATCCGACAAGGAGGTGGACGCCGGGGTTTAAACAGAATGTCTGGAACTCCCGCGTTAATTCGACGAAGGCACTCTGCAAGGCCATCAGTGAAGCCCCTCATGTCTGCTCCTTTGTTAGTATGTGTGGCGTCAGCCACTACCCGCCCTCGCCTGTGAAGGTGTACACGGAAGAGGATAAGGTGGAGAGCTACGACTTTATGTCGCGTCTGTGCATCGCTTGGGAGGAGGCAGCCAATCTAAACAATAACACACCTAAGGCCAAGTGTGTAAGTGAAAATCGCGAGGGAGCATGATCTGGACATATTACCTTTAACTAATGCTTTAGACCATAGTGCGCACGGGTGTGGTTGTGGGCGAGCCTGATGGAGGCATGATCAAATCGATTTGGCTGCCTTTTAAATTGGGACTAGGCGGTCCCATGGGCAGCGGTGCTGAGATTTTACCTTGGATACATATGGAGGATCTGTGTCGCCTGATACAGCACATAATAGAAAAGGGTGAAGCCGGGGTGATGAATGCAGTCGCACCAGAAATTGTAACCACCAAGGGCTTCTCTCAGGTAGCAATATAAATTCTAGACTATTGCATCGAGTGTATCCCAAAACTCACATACTATCTGTGTTTTTGCAGGACTTTGCCAAGGCGCTTAACCGGCCTTGCTTGTTCAACATACCGGAGTTCGTGGTCGACATGATCTTTGGCAAGGAGCGTGCTGCGCTCCTTTTAAATGGTGCTAGGATTCAGCCAAAAAATGCGTTGAAGTCAGGCTTTGAGTTTAAATATCCCACCGTTAAGGATGCCGTTACGGAGATCGCACAAAAGTAAACTGAATAATCAGGCTCACAAGCATACAATATATGTGAAAGGGATTGTAAAAATGATTGACACTGAGTTTTATAGTGATTAGGATATTTATGTTGTAGATAATTTGTAACTTTTAGCAAAATAAAATCAAGGCCCTGATACTCATAACAAAAATCTATTGTCTTGGAAAAGTATCTCATTATATAAGTGGGTCTAATTCAATGATTTATTGATATCGTACTGACCTCTGATTCAATGTAGTACCGGTTGAGAGAGATTGCTGGACAAATTAAAGTAATTTTTTAAATTGCACGTTTTAATTTGTTTACCTATTAGTAATGGGGGCTCAATTATGTCTATTTTTAGCAACTCATGTTTGCATATTTAATTAAAGGTGACACAAAAACGTGTTATTAATTTAAATGCTGTATTTTATGCCCATGGTTAAGGTGTAAAGGTATGGCTTCAGACTTGCGTTGAAAGTATAGCGTTTTCGGAAGCGGAATACCATTGAATTCGCTGGCAAGAGGCAGTGTGTAGGCACCCATATTGGGAAAAGCAATTAAGTCGCCCGGATTCAAATGGGGCAAATATAGGTTATCCGATATCTATAAAAAATGTGTATTTTGGAGCTTAATATTTGATATCCCTCTTACCTTATCCAAGGAATCACAGGTTGGTCCCCATATCGTACTTTTGAATTTGGGCAGATCGGAGTCATTATCCTAAAACTCATGAACAATAAGCCCAAAAACTTTAAGTTCAATTTTAAACTTACCAAAAAGTGAACCACCTTTATCGGATCGTGCTCCATAAGTACATAGATAAAGGAACCGTAAACGCCATCGTTTATATAGTACATAATAGTGTCTAGCTTTCCTGCAGCGTCACGCACTTCCCGCTTTGCTTGAATTTTGCACACGAGAGTGAAAGCCTGCTCCACTAAGTAACGTCCAGGCTCTGCTATTATTTCGACTGGATCATCCATAAAATATTCGTCTATCGCATTGTTGATTACGTTTGCAATCTGTGATGTGTACACTTTTGTTATTACCACTGTTACTTTTATTATTAAAACTAAGGCAGTCCAACCTACCTCTTTAAACTGCACATCATTGCTGCCAGGATATCCGCCGCCTATATCCAGCAACGACATGTCGTAGCCTAAAAGCTTTCCAAAATCATAAATACTCCTGGCTTTTAGTATTGCGCGATCGTAAGCTTCAGGCTCCTTGCATTCGCAACCTACATGGAAACTCGAGCCGTCAACCTGTTAATAAGAAAATAGACCGAAGAAGCTTACGAATTTTGGACACACCCACATCCCATCTCAGCATTTACAGTCTACAATAATACCTTCAGAGAAGTATTCAAAAGTGTAGCCATCATATACATATTTATATCTCAGGTATTGAAAGGTCTCTGCGTTCATTGTTGTTGCACAAATCAGTGCTTTAAGTCCCTATTAAATAGATTTAACCAATAAAAACGAAAAAAAAAAAAAAAATTTGCCCAAACTACATCATCGTCGGTTGATGGAAAAAGATATTCTATTATATTTTTTTCCACTTTAATTCTACTGTTTTTTAATAACAAATAAAACTTAAACTAGGAGTTTAGTCTTAATTACAATTTTATATTTATACTTTATATAAATCTGTTAGCAAGGTTATTTGATCTCTCCCAAAGGGTGGTGGGCGAAAGAGTGTGAAATTTTTTTCTAAAGATTTAGGGAACACAACGGCTCTCTCCCTAACCCTCTCCCCCCTGCTTAACAATGGCATCATTGTTCTGAGAGTTAACATAAATTCCATTTTTGAAATGTTGAACTGTCATAAAAGTTCACACGTATCTGCATCTGGCTACGAAAACTCAGTTGGACTTATTCGAGTTTGTTATGAAAGATTTGATATACACCATTTGGGTGCTGTTGGCTTATAGTTACAAATAAAGATAGAGAAGATAAACAACAATTTAAACAAAAAAAGAAACCGATTTCAAACTATTAACAGGCACTAAAAAGAACAAAATAATTGCGTATTCTTCTACAACTTAATATTCAATATATAATGTAGATACAATTATTGTTCTTTTTGGAGTCGGTGTCAGCGGTCGCGCGCTGCGCCAGTCAAGAGAAAGAGGCACTTCATTACGAACCATTTCAGATTCTTTTCTCTTTCTATATCTACTACGTCATTCTTACGGTAATTCCTCGTGTTTAATGTTGACTATATTTTCGTATCAGCATTTCCTTGATTACCCGTATGTCTCAGCATAGTGTCGTATTAAAATTTGGCTTATTGTTGTTTCAAGGTAGCAGATATTGTCAAAGTAGTTATACTTGTATTGTCCTATAAAAGTTAATTTGAAATTGGGTTTAATTAGGTATTGGTAATCTGTCACAGTATATTGTCGTTCGTATAAAAGTTAATTTGTAAAAAAAGTATTTCCTAAAGTATTCTCATATTATTACTGGTAGATTGATTGATTGATTGATATATTGTAGTATTTCCTTGGCTGACACCGACTCCAAAAATAACAATAATTGTATCTACATAATATATTGAATATTAAGTTGTAGAAGAATACGCAATTATTTTTTACTTTTTAGTGCCTGTTAATAGTTTTAAATCGGTTTCTTTTTTTGTTTAAATTATTGTTTATTTTTGGATTTTTAGTGAATGTGAAGTACACTAACTAATCTGTATGAATATGGGTAGACCTAATAAACGTGTTTCTCAACAGAGGAGTCTTGCGAACTTTTCATGTTCAAAGACTGAATCGAGCACTCTTTTTCTCAATATATTTTGTCGAAAACGTTCATCACACTGTCTGTCTGTCGTCTGCGAATATCTACTGTTCTGATTTGTTGATTTGCGGCTCTTGTTGCAGTTTGTTCTTCTGACTTTTGAGCTTTTCGAACGCTGGGGTCGTGTATTTTTGCTACACGCATTGTTACGGTTAGATTTTTTCGACGGCATTATACTGAAATTGAAATTCTATTTCACATGATATCTCATTTAAATTTGACACTCATCTACCGGGTGCCTTCGAATGATATCTAAAGTCAGAATTTGACCAAATTGAAATGGGACCACATGGGAATCGTCAGCTTTCAAATACAAAAGGAATCATTTAAATCGGTTTACACTGTCTAAAGTTCTGAGGTAACAATGAACAATACAGTCGAATTGAGAACGTCCTCGTTTGCAGAACCTAACCAAACTCTCATCAAAGTACCCTTAAAGTACATCCTTTCCAATAAAAAAAGAATCATCGAAATAGGTTATCGTGATATAAAGTTATTCGTTAATTTGTCTTGCACGTACTTAATACAAATTTAAGACTTATGCTATTTTCTCATGGATGCCACTGTCAGAACTGGACTAAATTTATATGGGACCATTCTGGAAGCACCAGCTTTCAAATGGTATAAGAACCATTAAAAACAGTTCACCCAGTCGAGTGTACCGAGGTAACAAACATTAAAAAAAAAAAAATTAAAAAAAAATTAAAAAAATACAGACGAATTGATAACCTCCTCTTTTTTGAAATCGGTTAAAAAGAGAATAATGGAAAACAAAATGCAACACAATATTAAAGACCCTTTAGTATTTATTAATTCCCACTGCTATACCATATTAAAAAGCTATCTTACCTCCAAATTCAAGCTCCTTGATAGCAACAGAAGAGCCGTTGCGTCCGATTTTGGATCACAGCCGAACTTCCTGCCAAGCGGCCACACAGCGTCCTTGGCCTCACTGCGGAATCTCACGATCACCCTATAGAATTGCAATTATCATATTTTCATTCATAATCGGAAAATATATATGTATAATGTATGTGCATCGGCAATATAGTACTGATAACGAACCGCGTCTTTGGACTGTGTTTGCTGAGCTTAATAATCTCAAACTCATTGTCAGCGGTGGTTCTTAATACATTATGTTCCTGGGCGTATTTCAAATCCGGCAATGGCTTGCACGGATGTGCAAATATTATGCGCTCTGGGGTAGCACCAGCCTTCATAACCTGTGCAAAAAATATATGTATGTACTCAGAGCAGGTACATACATAGAGCAGGTACATAGGTAATACATACCATTTCAATTTCCCTTTTGGAGGCGCAATCGAAGCCGGTGCCCAAGTTGGCCAAAGTTTCGACGACCAATGGATCATTGTTGCATTTTACAGCTATTTAAATACAAGTAGACACAAATTCAATTTTTGTACTCTGTACATGAAATGTAGGTTTGCGGGAGGTGAAATATGTAACAAGCAAAAGGAGGCGTGGCAGACCCCACAAAGTATATATACTTGTATTATACTTGACAAGACGAGTCGATCTAGCCCTGTCTGTTTGTATGAGCACCTGGCTCTCAGAGACTGAACGACCTAGAGATAAGATGCCTTATGTGAATATGCAGAAAATGTGTATTTTAGAATTTCCCACCCTCCATCCTCTCTCCCGAAATTCGTAATTCTCTACAACTCCCTATTCCTTGGAATTTTTCATTGATGATATTTGTTAACTTTACCCAAGCACTGCCCGCAGCTGTTGTTGTTGTTACTGCTTTGCATAGGCAATCGAGACATACACAGACACACACAAACACGCATAGACACGCATAACGTAAAGATTACACCGAATTCTGCTTTTAAGCGGTTTTGATTTAACACGATTTGAAAATTTAAAATTTTATATTTCCATTTAGCACGATTCAACATAACATATGATCAATAGCTTTTTTTACACCGATTTTTTTACACGACTTTTCCTGGAACCAATCTGCCGTGTAAAAACAGAATTAGGTGCATTTCAAAGTCGGGACGCCCGACATTAGCTTCTCAACTTGCTTATAGCATCATTACTTTTCTACATATTTGTAAGCTGTATACATAATTCAATTCATGGTTGTCCAAATCGTATAACTCTTAACTTACCGTAATACGGCTGGATGCGTGGTAGAAGCTCCTTCCACAACTGTAATTTTCTAGCCACGGTTGATAGATCGCAGATATAAAACGCCTCTTCCAGTGTCTTTAAGTTCCCCAGGAGTACCACCTGCTTAAGATCGAGCTCGTGCTCGTAGTAATTCACTTCATTGAATGAGAACATTATTTCAACGTTCTCCTCGAACTTGCTGATTAAAACTGAGCTGTTATTCTGCAATACCATTCAAATCATTTCTAAAGCTCTTATCTCAATTGTTTATATTATTATATACATACATATGTACATACATTCCGCCGTTCACCGGGCGATGCGAATCTACATTTTTCGCATCTATTTGCAATTAAGTGGGATAAGAGAGTCAAATGGGTCAGCATAATTTAAGGTTAAGCTTGCATATATAATCTTCTATTTTTTCCCCTTATTTTTAAATATACATGCATATTGGTTATAATACCGATCTCTCAAAGCGATGTAGTTGACCTGAACGTTGCTCTGACAGCTATACATTTGTATGATATAGATATCCTAATACTTTAAATTAATTTAAAATATATAATTCAATTTAAAAAGCTTATAAATAAACTTTATTCCTATCCACCGTTGATCCGCCTGGGTCCGAAACAAGAAAGGAATGATAGGCGAGCTCAACTCTTAATTACCCTGTACTTCCCACAAAAATGAAAAAACTAAAAAAAATGTAAAAAAAAATTAAGTTTATTAAATTATATAATTAAGTTTTAAAAAAATACTATACACACATAAATGGAGACATATGTTTACGTACAGTTCCAACAGTCCACATTTCTAGCACAATCGTGTCTATACGTGTTTATATTATATTTATGGCTAAAACTTTCTTTCTAATTGACCTATCATAATGATACTTAAAATACGGACAACAATTCTGTAACTGGGTGTGATTACCAGATTTGATTTCTAAATTCCAAGAATTAGGTAAATTATAGAAAATTCTCGGGACTAGGAGAGTCTGTATACCAAGTTTGGTTATTTTAGCTCTTATACTTTCTGAGATCCTTGCATTTATAAAGACAGACAGACGGACATGGCTATATCGACTCGGGTTCGTAATTAGATATACAAGGTGCGTTCCAAAGTAAACAGGACTTATGAATCTAGCGCCCCCTGGTGGCGCTATCTATATGTCGACTCGTGCGTTATCTATATGTCGACTGGTGCGTTAGAATCTGCTATCTTTATCGATTGTCCAGTGAGCATTTCATGACATTTCATCGATTGGAAGTGAAGTTATTGCGTTTTAAGTGCACGAGTGGTTTCAACGTTTTCAAAGTGGTCGTGAGGACATAAATAACGATCAACATGTGGGCCAATCAAAATTCGTGATCCCCGAAAATTTCATCAAAAATCAGCCGAAATCATCATTGAAATTGATGAAAATGGAATTGAACATCTCCAAAACATCGATTTATCGCATTTTCACCGAACATTTGGGCTTACGAGAGGTGTGTGCACGGTTTGTTCCGCACAAATTGACTGACGACCAAAAATTGCTCAGAATCGATCGAAGCTTGTGACCGATTATTTGACCAAAAATCACATTTTAACCATTAACCACTCGCCGTATTCACCTGATATAGCACCGTGCGACTTCTACCTTTTCGGAAAAATGCATTTGCCCATGAAAGGAAAGCGTTATGCAGACGTAGAGGCCATTCAAAAGGCTTACACCGGCATACTGGCGGCCATACCGGCCAACGAGCTAAAACACTCGTTCGACATGCTTTTGGATCGTGCAAAAAGCTGTATTGAAGCAGGAGGAGACTATTTTGAATAAAATAAATTGATTTTGCCGAAAAAACCATTTCTTCTGTTTTTTTTTTTAAAGTCCTGTTTACTTTGGAACACACCTTGTAGACATTTCAACAGAAAAGTCCACCAGGAATTAAAAATTAAAAGTAAACTAACAGTTTTTCTTGACTTGTTATATTAAACAGAAATGTTTAAATTTTACTAAATTAGAGAGTTCAAAGCTCTGCCGAGTTGCAATGGCGAAATATAGACCTCCAAAGTTCAAGATCAGGTCTAGGTCAGCTTTGTGTATCTTAACAGCATTTTATCTTTACAATTTACGATTAATTTACGAGCAAACCAATATCAATTAGCGGTAAAACTTTTGATTTGCTTTTACCCATCTTCGAATGTAACGTAACATCAGAAACATATCGTTTATTCTCATTATCTCTACACTGATGATCGCAAGTGCGTGAAAAATTGAAAGTTTAATAAGGTCTACTAATTGTATAAAAATATCAGTAATTTAGCAAAAAGGTATTTTTATTTTGATTTTCAAAAGTGCTTAACGTCACGTCAGATTGTAAATAATTTCATTGTTTATTTTCAATTGAATCATCAAATAAAGGTAAAATTATTTAAATATAAGTTCATTGTAAGAAGTTTTCCTAACTCGAATTATTTTTCAACTTTTCATGGCAAAAGTGCGTTCAAATGGGTAAAACTCATTATGTTATAATTAAATTTGCGTTTTTCAAACAATCCTAACTACAAATTTTCCAAAGAAAATAATGTAACGTCACGTCAGATAACGTCATGTCAGATAACGTCACGTCAGACAGCAATTCAAATGTAAATACAGATTTTTTAATTATATAATTTGAATAATAAACTTATATTTTTTTAACCTACTGAAAAAGATAGAAGCAAAAAGTTTCACAACTCTTTTGTAATTCAAGTCAAAACCGACTTCCTTTTTTTGTAACGTCACGACAGGGTCTATTTTGGCTTATTCCTTATAAACTTGAAGGTCGAATGCTATAATTTTTTACCGTATATAGTTCTATTAAAATACTACTCAACTACTTATTCATTTATTTATTTAATATTTTTTCTACGAATGTCACATCACGTCAGATTGGAAATGCCCATATTTCTAATTTTTAAAGCATTTTTTATTTATTTAGTTTTACTTAGCTTAAGTTCTCTATTGTATTGATTTCTTTTTCTTTTTTTTACATCGACAGCATTGCTTGTCGATGAAATAAATAAATAAAAGTAAATAATTAAGAATAAATAAATAAATGGATGTTTTGGCGCTGCGCGTAATTACCTGCGAGTTTGCTTGTAATTGCTTCTAATTATTTAAATGAGTCAGAAAAAGTGAGTAACCGACTTTGAAAAGTACTCAGCAATTAGTTGTTCACCTTTTAAAATTGTATAAATCGAGCCCAGATTGCGCGAGAAGATTAAAGCTCCTAGTGAGGGTCGTGAATATGAAATCGGGGTCGATGTATAAATTCTGGGCCGGGACTATTAACGAAACCGGCCATATATGTAGTCCGCGAGATTCTCTCCTTCACCCCTTCTCGGAAATATATACACTTTTCGGACAAACAAATTGTAAATTAAAAATGCTTAATAAAACTAAAAGTGAAAGCGAGTATAAAGCGTGACAGGCACCACAAAGTACACATAATATATACATTAATAAACAGTTTGATTAAATGAGCCCATGCACATGTCCATGTCCGTTTGTTTATCTGTCCGAATGTATGAAGGTCGAAGAGTTAGATTAACAAAGAGTAATAGAATCCGGCGCGCATATCTCTAGGATTTCACTGTTGCTGCCATTTTTCACTCTTATTCGGCAGATACTAGTCATATTAATAGCACAGGAGAATAACACCAGTTCAATTTGAATAACTACTACAAGTATATAACACATACATTGAGAATATCTGAATACCGCTTTAGACAGAAGGAATCTAACTATCCCTAGTAATGAAAAATAACATCTTTTTACACATACGCGTACTCGTATATATGTAGTACTTGATATGTTTGGGTCAGGACCTGCCGATCTCATCATGGAAAAGTCGGCGTGTATTTGTACACTGGACAGCAAATATCACTTAGTAATAATACTTACAGGTATGTACGCAGCAAATGGTGTTCCCCTTTCGAGGCTGATTTTGACAGATTTGAAATTGGCTGAGAACTTTAGAACAAATGCAAAAGTACACAAACAAATGTGAATAACAAACTCTTTGATTGTAGATTTGAAATAATTACATCAAAAAACAATTTAAAAGCTGGCAAAAACAGCTAATTTATCTACACACGCCGATGAACATGTGTCCAATCACAGATCCACACAAAAAATGAATCTATTTGTTAAGCTTCACAGAGTAATTTCTCTGCACGACTATAAAACCTGCTGTCGTTCGAGCTATTCGGCAGTCAAAGCTCCGCTAGAACCGAGTCGAAACGCTATCCAAAAATGTTATCAAAATCGCAACTCTTGCTGCTCGTTGTTGGGCTGTGCCTGGTAAGTAGTACACACGACTGTATGTACTCTGTCGAGAATTAGGTAATGAAATATCTACTATTGTTACGAAATAGAGCGTAGCCAGCGCCGATGTGGATTGCAGCAAGCGTCCCAAGCGCATGGACCCCAAGAAGTGCTGTGCCATACCCGAGTTTGTCACCGACGAATTGAAGGAGAAATGCAAGGAGTACAATACCACCTCCTCGGTCGAAAAGACAGACGACTCCAGCAGCTCCATCGAGAATAAGCATCACCGGCATCACCACCACCATCATCACTTGCCGCCCGTAAGTGTTGTGGGATCAGCTAACGAGTGAACTTTTGTCTCATAAGTGAACGGACGATCCTTTTCAGTGCTTCTACTCGTGCGTCTTCAATGAGACTGGAATTTTCGTGGACAACAAACTGAATGACGAAAAGCTGCAGGGCTACCTGAAAACTGTGTTTGCCAGCTCCACTGAACTGCAAACCACTGTTTCCGAATCCTTTACCACTTGTGCCGCCAAAAATGCCGAATTCATGGCCAAGATGGGTGATCGCACACGTCCCTCGCCACCACCAGGTGCTCCCATCTGCCCCCACAATGCTGGCCACTTGATGGGTTGCGTCTTTAAGACCACGTTCAAGAACTGCCCCGCCTCCATTTGGAGTGATACAGAGCCGTGCAACGAGTTGCGTGATCACTTCAATAATTGTAAGCGTCCGAATGGTCCGGGGCCATCAAACGAGGAAGCCTAAAATTGTTCCACCATTATTACACGCTTCCAACAATTGAAAACACAATTTATAAAATAGCACGGTAGAGCGTAAAAACAAATATACGATTTTTACGAATTATAACCTACAGCAATAAAACCATTTTTTATTCAAGTCATTAATTTGATTACCAGTAATTAAGGAGAATTAACTACTGCGAAATGAGTCCAATCAAGGTGATTGGTATATCTGGTCCAAAACTCGCATTTAACTATTTCGATATGTACAAATGGGTTCTATATTAAAAAGGAGTATGAGCATATGGATAAATTAACGCAAGATTTCTTATGACGGAGTTTAAAAAACAACAGCATGGCATCTGAATGTTACTAATAACACAGAGAAAAAAGAAACTAAAATTTCGACTGTCTCAATTGGAAAAATAATCATCATAATACAAACCTAAGTACATACCTCCCAAGCCCAGAGAAAATCCCACTAAACATATGGATATGGACGTAGAGAAGCGGAAACCAGCTTCTGAACTGAACAAAAATAAGTATGGACATGAAATTATATACATATACTATGTATATTAACATTTATATTGGCGTTGTCTTTACTCTTACTTCTTCAATTGTTAAAGGGTATTTCCTATTCGTCATTCTCATTTTTTAGTGGACACAAAAAATATTAAAACAAGTTCAATGAGTTATTTCTCTCTTCTGTTTAGCTTTGATATACTCTTTTAAAAAATCTAATCTTGAATAACAATCAGGAATCCCTTAAATACATAAGTATGTGGATGTCGTAAAAAATCATTTAAAAGCGTTTTTAGTTTGAAAAACTGTGTTGCTTATAAACATACTTACAGCTCTTTCCCTTCTATGCTTGGCTAAGTATTTTTGCTTACAATTATTTAATAATAGAGAAATAGTATATCATAAATGTACTATTTCTCTACAAGTTTAATTTACAAGATTAAAAATGTTTATTTTATAGCTTTGCACGTTTGACCTATATTCGAATTTAGGACATTGTTTTAAAGTTATTTTTCGCACTTTTTACACTAAATTGATACTGTATACATATTATTGATTTTAGTAGAGTTAGAATTGATGTGAATATGAATGGATCGATCGGATCAATGCAAGAGTTTTGTGAATTCAGAGAATAAGCGATTTTCTTTTGAATGTGGTTTGCAAAGCAATAATAATTAAAAACAGAGTTCACAAATATACATTTTCAATACAATCTTTTAACCCGTATGGAGTACGAATTTCAAACAAGCTTCTAAATTTGAGACTCCATGTTGATTTCAATACACAATCAGCCATCCAGTAGGATTAATAAACAATAAGTACTAATGCTGAATGACATGTTGTTATGCAAAATGTGAATTTATTTTATACATTAATTGTTATACTTGTAAGTACATTGTAATAATTTAAAAATGGATATGATAGAGCCGAGCAAGTCCAACTTGAAATACTCACTACCACAAAAAAAATTAATATATAAATATAAAGCTCTAGGTATGTGGAATTTAAATCCATGTTTGAAATCGACCGGACAAAATATAAGTATGTATAATAAAAACTTGGTATTTGAAAAAATTCTTAGAAATGTTAAGTTCCTAATAATTCAGGTCAAAATAAAATTTTAAAAACCTACAATGGAATTTATTTTGGATTCTTATTCGTTTCGGCTTCCTGGTGATCGTCAATCAGTCAATCAAGACTTTATTTTTTACGAGTATATACATATTAAATATAATTTAGTTTTAAATTTAGTATTGAAAATGTTGTAATAACTGATTATAGAACGCGACCCATTACCAAGGAAAAATAAAGGTGTTGTTAAGACATTGAAGTGTATATATCTTCGGTGCATACGAATGAAATATTACAGATAGGGTTTGCCAATATATACTTCCAAGATATTCTAAGATCTGAAAAGAGGAGAGTCCAAATTCCTAAATTCCGTTAAAGAACTTGGCAAGTTAAGTCAGTCAGTTAAGTCCAGCAACTTTAGTAGCAGCTTTCACTTTTTTGTTAATCAGTCTGTGCCATTCCCTACTTTTTTAAGCACTGCATTCTGCCATAACCCCATCCACCTAATACTCGTAATACATTCTTATCTCAGCATTGCACGTCTGGGTACGCAGCGAATTAGAAAATTAGATTTCCTCTTGTAAATTGTCTATCAGCCCCCTCCAGGCGCATGAGCAGACCACATGCTCAGCGTTTAACCCGATAACGTCAACTACTGTCGCTGCTTTTCTGTTCTGGCCACATTCATTCGGTGGTTAGCAAGCAGCTAACAAAGACAGTCTTATAATGAAGGCGCTCGAGAGCGAGTTGGAGACATTTTTTGAACAGTGCCGTCAGGAGCAGTTTAGTGCCCAGGAAATGAGCCACATATGCCAGCCCCTGCTGTGGCGCCTTGGTCTGGTCAAGATTAGGCGATGGGTGCTCTGTGCACTGCCCCTGCTACTGATCTACTTGCTCTGGCAGTACAGCGAAAGTTTCGCCTGGAGTGTCAGCGCTGTAGGCAGGATGCTTCTAATCCAGATCTTACCCTATTGGGACTGGACTCCATACTACAGTAGCAAGTGTCTAATTGAACGCAATGAGGATATAAGGAAGCGGGTTGAGGCACCCCGAATATTGGACAAGTATGAAACCCATTGGGAAAACTGCGCACTCTGCGAATCCCTGGGTGAGTAGGACACTCACAATTTGTAGGAAAGGACTAGCAGTCTCTGCGTTTTTCTCCCTTCCGTAGAAAACATTCCCACGCTTTCGAATGTCAGCTACTCCATAGTGGAATCGCAGTTCTTGGAACGAGGTCTACCCGTCATTATCACCGATGCTCAGGTGCAATCAAGTCTTGACGATGTTCTGGAACTCATACAGCATAAGGCACCAGCATTGCTTGCCAGTAAACCATGCGATGTGTCCACCAATCTCTTGTTGCAGAAGCTCTTTAATATTGACGCGGCTATACAGAAGATACGAACGCTCCACGAACCGAAAGCTTGGCATTTGCAGTTCCGAAACTGCGAGTTCAAGGCTGTAAAGGCTTCACGTCTCTATGTCCATCGACCGTACTACTATCCTGTACATCTGGAGCCTTACTACTCCAGTTGGCTGCTGATGGCGCACAAGAGCGAACGCCCACAATCGAATATATACCTGCGTGGCCTGATATTTGTGCAACAGCTCAGTGGCCATTTCGACGTGCGGTTGCGACCCAAGCATCCTTGTGACGACAACGTCTGCCCCACTCTAAGGATCCGTTTGCATTCAGGCGAATGCATTGTCTTCTCCACCGATCTGTGGCGCTTTAGCTATGGACTGCAAAAGCCCGATCCGAGCAATACCTCCATAGCCACAATCCTCGAAGTTGACTGGAATCTGTAGTCACAGAGTTTGTCTAGATTTTACACAGACTTCTTATACTAAGTACTATATCCATATACTACTTATTCAGAGTATGCATAATAAATCAGTTTATTCCAATTGAATGTTTAATTGCGAAGAGTTGTTAAAATATGTAATTTTGTTTTTCAGAAAATGTACTTAGCAGTTCTAACAATCTAACAATTAAATTAATATCATACTTTCTTCAAATGCCATTTAGAACTTTCGAGAGACTCTCTTTTTTCTTAAGAACATTTAATTGAATTTTATTCTTCTTGCTTTTTATGGAAAAGTTCGTACTTTGAATTTTTTTCTTTTCTTGTTTTTGTGAATATATCTACAATTTTTAGGACTCGATGTCACGGATTTCGATCTCCTTTTAAGTCTAAGTAGTTAAGCACATTAAATACACAGGATATGGTTTCAACTCATTGTTAGTCTAAGGAAAGATTCGGTTTTTTTGGACTTAGGCTCGTCTGCACTTGGCCTCGACTAGTTTCTGTAACGTGGCTGTCAGACTGTTGATGGCATCGATTTTCATTCTTTCGATTCGCTCCTGCTGCACCAAGGACATCTTCTGAATTTGAACTTGCTCCCGTTGCAGACTACGCTGTAGCTCCATTTTCTCCCGCTCGACCTCGAGCTTCCGCTCAAAGTAGTCCTTCCACCAGCCGTTGTCCTCGAGCTGCTCATACATTTTCCCGTTCGCCGCCATCTGGTGGCTGTCGCTAGGATCCTGCATTGTGCTACCCGTGTGGTCAGCATCGTACTCCAACTTTGGCTGCCGTACCTCCGAAATATTGCTGTTACTGTCCTCGTCGAATTCATCATTGGACTTGGTGTCCAGTTGGACCTGCGGTTGCAGCAACACCTGATCCACAGGCGTTATATAGGGATGTACATGTCCCTCCTTGAGCTGCGATGGCGGAGTTTGAAGTTGCAGTTTTAAGATAGGCTGCGGAGTTTCAGGATTTTTCTGGTATGCCGCGGCCAGGCTCAGCTCCTGGGTTGGTGGCAATTGCAATGGCGGCGGTTGTTGCTGAAGCTGCTGCTGAGGCTGAGGCTGCGTCTGCTGCTGTTGTTGTTGCTGTTGCGACTGCTGCTGCTGCTGCTGCTGTGCCGGCTGTTGTTGCAGCTGCATATCGAAGTCCGCCTTTTTCCCTTGCAAATACTTAAACATCTCCTCGAAGAACTCCCAGTGCACGTAGCCAGAAACATATTTCTTGCTCAAATTCTTATTATAGGTGATTAGGATGTTGTGCCATTTCTTTTGCACCTTGGCGGCACTATATCGAAACCCCAGCCTTTGGAGCTGACGGGTGCAGTGTAACCAGAGGGCAGTCCGCTTTTGTCTGCCCTCCGTAAAGCTGCCCTCCATCGGTCCACGTATGTGAATGAGAGCACGTGTAGCCTCTGTGGTCCATGCACGTTCATAGGGTCCACGACCCAAGGTAATGCCTCCTGGTAGGTCGGTCTCCTCTAGCAGGCATTCATCGTCCAAGTCGTCAAGGTCATCGTCACTAATTTGATAAGCTTTAAATGCACAAAGAGTAAGAAGAAATAAGATTAATACTATGGATTTGTACCGCTCAAGTTATTTCTCACTTGTTGCGCTCTAATTCCTTGAACTGCCTAGCATTTTCATTCGCTCAGTCCTCAACTTTCCACGCCACTCTCTTTCACTCATTTTCTCTCTCTTCATATGGCACTCTCTTGCTTGCGACCTCTCAGACTTTGCGGCTTACCACCCACACCCAGCAGCCACCCATATCCTAGCCAACCGCCTGCCGCAGCAAGGATGCTAGCGCTGCTGCTACTGACGCACAGATACAGCCGCAGCCGCAGCCTCCGCACATACTTTTGCAACTTGCAGATACACATTTTCTCGAGCTTAGAGGAATTTCGCTTTACTATGCACTACGCATTGAAAAGTGCATATGTATATTTTTACTTACGTTCGTTTTCCTCGATATTGTTGTTGTTGTTGGTGTTGTTGCTGGCCATGCTCGCTCCGTTTGTTACAGTTTGTGCCATTTTATTATTCGTAAATTAAAATACCTTTTCGCTCGACTGTCATTCAACGGCAGAGTCAACGCCACACTTAGACCTGCTTGCTGTCAATAGTTTTCTGTTACTAACGAGGACATTTTTCTGGCTGCAGCTTCCAGTCAAATGGCAAACTTTGTGCGCCTACACTCTCAAACTGCTATGTGCACACTCTCACGATGGCTCTCCGAACTCAGACCTATTGGATGCTGGGGGCAACTAGTCAATAGTAATGAAGTATCTAGCGCCGCAACAGAATTGAGGCTGCCATAGTATATAAATCGGGGGTGTTTGGCAGCTGCGCATTAATCGAATGTTTGTAAGGTCTGTAAGCCACCCTTGTATTACAGTTGCAATACTAACATACTATAAGACTTAATCAGAACATCGAAATTAAGTAGTATAACTTAAAGTGTTTACTAAGTGTTATTTGAAATTTGAATAAGTTCTCTTATATTCATCCAAACAAATAAAAATTAACTGTAATAAATGCAAAACAAGTATAATTTGTTGAACTAAATTTCATGCAACTCATAAATTTATTTGAAAATTGAAGCGCTGTTTGAAATCTGAAATACGGTACTTTTTATTATTTATGACTGAGGTAGTGGCACCGTCGGCACACGTCGGTTAGCGCTGCCAGACTGTTTAGCTCTTGCCGGTAGGACAATAATCAGTTGGCAGCGCGAAAAACCGCGAAACTGCGCGTGGAGTGCAAGATTTTGTTATATATTATAATAAATTAGGTTTTTAAGTAGAAACAAATAAAATGCCTGCGGTGGAAAAGTGCACAATGTAAGTGACCTGCTACTTATATTAAAATTCATTGACCAATGTTGCTAAACTTGCTATTTCAGCAATGACTGGAAACGCCTCTGGCAAATGGTCTCTGGCATTCATTTTGAGACGCCGGAGAACACAGTGAGTGAAGAACTGTTGAATGTGAAGTCTGAGCTATTGGCCGGACTGCTGCATTTTAAGCCAAAGAGCGCCTCAAATGTGCAGCTGTCCACGTTGCTCAAGGAGAAAAAGCAGGAAAAGTTACTGCCCTTCACAGAGCGCCTACAGGATTTACTGAATCTAGAATCGGCTCAATGCTGGGAAATACTTTGCTACTATCTAACGAATGAATATCGTGGATCTGCGAGCCTGCTGACACAGCTTATCTCAACAGAGACAAATATGATTAAGCTATTGGAGGATATAAGGCACTATTACTCTTTGGAGCGCATGATTGTGCTGAAGATCGTAAAGAATTTGCTCCTCTTTTACAATGTCCGAAATCATCCGTACCACAACGAGTATCGTATGGTGGTTGACAAATTAACGCTGCCGGGCTTGCGCGATTCCTATTTGAATCAGGTGGAGAGCTTGATTAACGAGATACCGCCTGGTAAACTTCTAGCTGCTGATTGTTTTCACCCCAGGGAAAGACTTACTGCTTGGTCGGAGCGAAATGCGCGCGAAACAACCGAGGTGGTGCATATTTTGCTGCTCCTGAGCGAGCATTTGCCCATGGGCCTGGAGCAGATTAGGCGACTCTTCGCAGCCTTTAAACAGCACTCCTTTGGACGCATACATAACTACTTGGACGATGCTAATCCATACCACAAGGAACTAAAAAATAATCTGTGTTACTCTGAGTCTGCGCTGCTTCTAAAATGTCTTGACTTTGAAAATCCTGAGAAGGATGCCCAACTCATTGAGCAGGTAGTTGATGAACTACGGGTTCAATTATCGGGCCTGCATCATCGCTTAGAGCATGGGCCCCTTCTCCTTGTATGGATGCTCCTACGCTTACGCGGCACCAATGATGCCGAGGATGCATCCAGTTTGCTGCACTGTCGACATCTGGGCCAGCGCGCTGTCGCACTTAAATGTTTCAGCCAGCTACAGGATATTGTTAATCACATCATGTTCGCTGATGACAGTTTGCTTTCGCGGATTGTACGTAAGACCATTTACAATCAGCTCTGCTACTTTTGTGATCTCTTCGATAGCGATGGCAGCTGTGCTCAATACGAAGGCATTTTTGAGCTGATGTGCGAGCTTTTGTCCTGGCCACAGCTAGCAAAGGAGTTCTGCAGCCAAGACGGTGAGTTTTTGGGTACATTTTTCGTGTTTCTTAATGATGGTTTACATTTTCCCCTATCAGATGGGGGTGTTCGTTCACTGTACAAAACATTGCTGGAGAACTTTCCTCTGCGGTTCAAGAATTTGGCGCATTTAGCCCAGGCGCTAACCAAAGCCGGCCAAGGCAATTATGTATATTACATTTAACGATCACAAGTCACCTCAGCTACTGATATTTTTCCTTAATACTTAGATAAAAGACCAACTCCAAAATCTTCCAATACTCGCACTTTTGTACGACGAAAGGGAGCACAAATTAAACGAGTTGGGTCCAGATGAATACGAACTGACTGCGCCAGTACGGCCATTTCCGCACATCGACTTCACAATGCCCGCTGGCACCGACGGTATAGTCATTAAACATGCCGCTGGCTGTTACGTGCATTTTCGCACAAGCGTCAATTTCTTCAATGCCCTCCATTATGAGATCAACTGCCTACTGTGCGAAACGGCTGAGCTACATGGCGAATATGAGTCAAACGAACGCATACAGAACGTCGAGGCGGGACTAAAATATCTGGAGGTTGTTCTACAGCGCACTAAATCCATTGACTGTATTAGCAGTGAAATGGTGCATCCCACCGAAATGTGCATTGATTTGCTTAATAAGTTCAAGAGCGTACAATATCCACCGACTGGCCTTATCTCTATATGTCTAAACGTGTGCTCGGCGCTGCTTCCACTCGTTGATGAGGAAATTTTCATGCGCATCAGCAATCTTGACATATTGCCTACCTTCAGCAATGGATCCTTGCAAAACTACAAGCAGTATGCCACTTCTCTGTGCTTCGAGTCGCGCTTCCTTGGTTCTGTTATTGATAACGTGGAAAAGAAGCAGGAACGCTATGACTTTCTCCTTTCGTATCTTGGCTTTCTGCGTACCTACACGAAGCTGAAACGGAATCGTTATATGCAGGTTGAAATTCCTGGATTGATCTTTCTGCTGCGTGACGTCTTCCCTCATTTGCACACCTGGCACTTCAAGTCGAAGTTTGAAAAGAACAAGATCTACTTTGAGGTATTGAGCTTCATTTGCGATATTCTAGACATCATAGGCACGAGCCATTCAGATAACAGTGCAACGTCTACACATCGCGAGCAGCAGGAACTGTTACGCAACATATGTGTTTATTCACTACTTAATTTGGAGAACGGACTGATCTTATTGCGGTGAGAATACTTTAAATTAAATTTTTGCATTGGATTCAATCATTCATTCATCATCCGCAGTTTTGAAATAGACTCTTATTGGAATATGGGATTTAACATTTTAACATTTTTTGAATCGGATTTAATAACAAACATGGAATTGCTTATACTCCCTACAGATTCGTGGGCGTAGGCAATGCTTTTGTTCAATACTCTATGGAACTGGAGACCAATTGGATGCAACACCAGCCGCATGGTCTAATGATGCTGGTACGCCTCTCCATGCGCATACTGATGCAGCTTCTTAGACTGAAACGTCATGTTTATGGCGACAACACACTTTCGCCAATGGAAGCACTTATTTACACGCAGCCCAAACAGCGCGACTCGCTGCGTATCATTCCGATCGTGTGCAGTTACATGAGTAACATATTCGATCGATGGCTACCAATCCTCTCGTGCCGTTTGCTCAAGCGGATTGCAACGGAATTCAACATGTCTTTGTTAGCCTGCCTGGATATGGAGGCAGATCAAATTAGGCTAACATTCATGCAAAAGCTTCCCGATGAACTGGAGAGCGATTCAATAAAGATTGCTATACTGGAGCTGGTAGATGCCTGTATTGCCAAGCAACCTGGAGTTACGGAGGCCTTCTTCAAGGTGAACTACGTCCACGACAAGCGGTCTTTCTTCGGCAAGGAGTGCACGCCTAATATTGGTGATAGTATTGTGACCTACATGCAGGAGTTCCTGGATGCGCTCAAAGCAGAGCCACTTACCATACAACAGTTGCTGCCCTGCAAGATCATGAGCATCTTTCATTCGCTTTGGAAGCACAACTTACAGATGCTTGTAAAAAAGTTGCTGGAGCAACCAGACTTTTGGCCGAAACTTTGCACGCCACTTTTCAGTGAACTGCAGCCCAACATGCGAGTCTACACGCAGCTTTTGAACATTGTCTCCATTGAGGTCTACTGCACGGGGAAAAGAGAGAAGGTACCTCTACAAAAAGTTATGCAGAAGTGGTTCGAACGTGAGTACTTCGAGAAGTGGCTGGACTATGTCTTCGACCTGCCCCAAGAGCCCAAGCGTGAAGGGAACGACAGAGATGAATTGCCCGACTGGATATGCCGTCTGCAATCTTTCAAGGACCTAATCGTCATTCTGTTGAAGAAGCAGCCCAAATTTATAGAAATACCCGAAGCTCAGTTCAAACTGCTAGCCCAGAAGTGTCTCACGGTGCTAGTTGCTCGCGCCAATTATCTGGAAGACATGCGTCCATTCATAATGCTGTCCGAGCTCTACATTTTTATATTGCTCAACTACAAGCACTCGTATACAAAAGATGCAAATGAAGAGAATGAACTAATGGAGCAGCTCTTACAGCTAATGAGTCGCATTTGCTCCTGCTACGAGGATTTGCATGTACGTTCTAAGGAGGCCTGCCTGGCCATCATCACCAAGTGCGCGCAACTTTATACGAATTTGCTCATATCGGACTCGTCTGTATCCCTCCGTTTTCTCAATTCGGTGGTCAGCATTATTTGCACCGAGCTACAGAGCATGGAGAACTCAGTCAATCTCGACCAACAACAGCAAGGACAGTCGCCGAAGCAGAAGAATAATTTGGACTGCAATGTGTCCACCAACTCCTTAATCTTATGCCTAAATTTATTGAAAGCAGTTGCCACAATTTTCCAAAACGATGGTCCAGCCAACTGGGACCTGCCGTTTGTGTCTGTGCGTCTGTTTCAGCGACTGTTACGCTGCATTTCGTACACGCTCCAACTGCACAGCAAACAAGCTCTAACCATCCAGCTATTGGATGTACTTATTGTGTTTGCCAAGAGCCACTGCTCGGCCGAGTTCTTGCACTGTGATGTGGGCGATAATTTGTGGCTCAATTTGTTGCCACCGCGTGAACTGCTACAGTCCCAATACGAGTTTAGTAAACCAAATGAAGATATATGGACCGTGGAGAAGTGGTGGCCCATTTATGCACGTGGCATTGAGTTGGTCACCATCATCTTTAATAAGCACAAGAAATGCTTTTTGCAAGAGGTCTTGCAATTCGTAGGCATCCATGAAGTGTATTTAATAGACTCGCTGCTGCTTGGCAAGCAATCTTTAGAACCGGATGCAATGCAACTTATCAAGGCGGCCATTTCGCTGGTTACCAGCCTTACGAAGTATGACAAGGAGTGGCGCGAAGATCACGCGTCATCTCTGCAAAACATAATGGTGAGTCCCCGAATTGTATCTATTCAAGATGAATACATATATTTACTGCCAATTTTTATTTGTATTATGTAGCGCGCTGTGCAAGGTCTGCTCTGCCATGCGATGTCCATGTTCCATCAACAGCGCCACTTGAAAAGTCTAATGGCGCGACGTCGTTCTCAGCTTGAAATACTGCGTAGCACCGAAACGATTATTGTTGACGACGACATCATTGCGGCCTGTAATAAGTAAGTAACTACCTACTATTCATTTAAATTGTATCTTATTTTAAGGGCACTATTTCTTGTACACATACTTAACATATCATATTTTCCATATATGTATGTATAGAACAATTTTTAAATTGTATTAGATTACTTGAAATACCAGGTAGAAATACATACATACAAGTATGTAGTTGGTAGTTAGAAAAATAATAGTTTACACAAGAGAATAAAGTGGGCAATAAATTGGTTTCATTTGTGTTCCCAAGTATTGCTGATGAATTTCAAACTTTCTGAACACCTATTTATAATGGAATTTAAAATATTTTAATCCAACAGCCTTACAGAAGTCATCATCTGCTGCGTGAAGGCATTGCAAACGTTCAGTCCAGATCTATTGGACCTCGTGTGCTCGGGTGTTTACGAGCCCTACAAATGGGAGCCCGTGCTGGATGTGATGTTCGGAGCACCAAAACTAAGTGAGGACAATGTATCGCTCACACTTAATATGGTTTTGAATATGGTGGTCATTTATGTGAAGGCGCTTAATATGGTGAGTAAATAGTCCACCTATTGCGACTTATCGCTTATTGAACTTTCCCACTATTTGCAGCAAAATCATGGATTCAACGAGGTGCCTTTGAATACGCTGCCTGCGATAGAGACCACCGACTTGACTGACAACACAGGCGGTCCACAGGTCCACAAAGCATCCTATGGCCGACATAGTTGCTCAAAGACGTTGACAAGCAGCTCGATTTCAACGATCACCTGCCCTTCTAACGAACTTCTTTCCAACTTGGACGGACCACTGTGCCTCGTCGCTTTGGAGCATCTACTGATGCTAGTGGCCTCCCAAAGTATCTATATGGTGCGGTCGCCAGATCTTGACCCACGCTGGAAACAAATTGTGCGTCGCGACATCTGTAGCGAGCTGCTAAGCTTTCACGAATTCGTAAAGCGGAAGGTGATTGTCGACTACAGGGACACGCGCTGTCCTTGGGTTCGGCGAAAGCATGGGCTCCGGAAACTAAAGCCTTTGGACCCGGCACGCGGCGTCCCCACACTTACGACACGGCCGACCAGCGAAGTTTGTCGAAGCAGCAGCACAGCAAACGAACTGCGTGTGAATGTGGTGCGGCGTCTTCATCTGCAGCAGCAGCATCAGCGCAGTTCGCAGAACTTTGAGATGACCCATGTGCTGAGTCCAATTGGCGCGCCTCAAAGCCAGGCAACAGGATCAGCAGCAGCGATCTCTTCAACGCCGAATCTGTCCCGACCTCCTATACAACATATCGCAGATGAATCTGCTGACAGAGCGTCGTCTGCGGATGGGCCATCAACTTCACGCACGCTAAGCCTGGCACGCCCTGCTGGTAGTGTGATCTATGAGGAGACGCCACGCGCCCAATCTGGAGCAACAGCACGTACGCTCAGTTTTCAGGAGCCTCCGCCCAGCACATCACAGTTGCCCATCGAGCAGGCGTCAGATCAGCCGGAACGAAAACGCTTGTATATTGAGCAGCAGGAAGGTGATGGAACTGGCGAGATAATCACTGATATACAGTACTACGAGCCTCCCACGGAGCCAGGCTTCTGCGAATTATCGCAAGTACAGCTGGTTGAGGAGGATTATCTTCAGCTCATGTCCGCGCTCTTTACTGTAATACCACAGAACGAATGAGCACTCTACACTTTTGTGATTTTCAATATCCACAACTCGAAAATCATTATTAATACACCCCGCACAGACAAAACTAATAATTATTGTTAAACCTGTAATAAAAACTCATTCTTTTATACAAATCCGAAACAGTCAAGCATTGGCATGACGTTATTGAATGAACGTGAAAATATTATAAAGCGAAATGAGTTTCTGACGTCAGGAGACGCAACTGACGAGCCTCCAAAAATGTCAAAAGTCCAAGGCGCTTTATGGAGCGCACGGGCAACCACCACGCTCTTGCCACGCACAAAGAGAGCGAGAGAGAGAGAACAAATGAGAGTAGATGAGAGAGTGAGCACGCGCCTGTTCGCTGGAACTTCACCCACGTTGGCTCATATCGTCTGTGCAATCTGTCTCAAGGCGCTATGCTCCAAAACCTTATCGAAATCCAGCAGCAAGTTCAAGAGTAGGGCGCTCTCCCACAACGAGAATCTTTCGGATTGCTGTTGCCGGCCGCGTTGCTTGCTCACACCAGTGTATGTATGTATGTGTATGTACGTGTGTATGTTTGAGGCTCTGAAACAAAATGCAAAAATAAAAGAAGTAACAGCCAACCATCTCCAAGCTGATTATATGCTTTGGCAGTACCTTGGTCAGCGTCAAAGAGAACGCATGTGCGGAAAAGCGAACACGGATAGCATTCGAAACGTACTAACCGAATAAAACAGAGTCGAGCCAAGTTAATAAAGTGCTAGCCAAGCTCCACCAACAGAGTTCAGAAACTGTCTGCGTTAGCCCAAACCAATTAGCCAAGTTTTTCCGTTGCGTGTGATAATGTTCAAAGGTGTGCCAACGCTTGCGAATCTGCGTTTGTTAAAGAGCCAGCGGGAGGCCTATACAATAGTTAATGGCCTGGTGCTGACGCGACGCTCGAAAGCTACGGCATTGCCCCTGGAGCTGACGGACGCAGTTAGCCGGCGCAATGTATTGAATGGGGACTACAAACAGGAGTTTTTGGATCGCGCCAAGTACGGACATACTGGCAAACAGTTGCAGCAAAAAATTGCTTCAGAGGTGAGCTCGAGATGGAGAGATTGAGTTCGCCACAAATTTAAAGTGGAACAGCTGATGTGGGCTCAGTGTGGGATGCAATAACGTCAGGCCCAAATGCGTGGGTGGTGTCGCGTTTTTGGTGGGTTTCCTCATCATCATATTGGGCCACAAAATTTGCATAGCATTTCTATTTAGTATCGATTTTTACATGAGTTTGCTCGATTTTAATATGAAAAAAAGCCGCACAATAAAGTGCATGACGTGCGTGTTCTTACTCCTTAGATATACCCGAATACGTACATAAATAGATACATATAATTCGGCCGGCAGTTGTTGTAGATGCGCAAACGCAATTATTACATTTCTAAAAATAAGGCTACAAATGATAGAATCTAAGCACATTATTTACATACTCGCATGCCTGTATTTTAGTGCGCAACTTAACTTTAATTTTCACATATTGCGCCTGGCAGCCACCATCCTACATACATACATACATACACACTCGTATGTCTGTATGTATGACGCACCGCTTTGGTTTAATTAGATAGCCATGAAGCAAATGATTTGGCTTGAGTTGTGACAAGCCAGTATAAGCGAACCCACTCACATTGTTACATGCACATTACGTGCCCAAACAAAATGCTTATCACGTGGCTGGGTATCTTCCTTATCTTATCTAATCTAATCGGATCCAGGTTGTTTCTAGTCTAGTCACTGAAGAGCTACTGGAAAATTATTAAAGAATTATGTGTCATGACGAAATGGGTGAGACGATAATAAATCTGTAAATAAAATCGCCTAGCCCTAATTGCCATTCAGTTTTATTACACACGTTGTCAAAACTCTCGACACCCACCAGCGCGATCTGTGACACGTGTTAATAAACTCTGCATAGTTCCGAAAGCTATGTAAACAAGTCCATTAAAATGTCTGTAATCTCTGCTAGACGGCCAGACGTTTGAGGTTGCCGTTGACAACCGCTCACAACATTGACCGAGACATTGAAACTTGTTGGAGATATGTATGTATGCGGGTGTTGTTGCTAGCACCGTCGCGTTTCTGGAACCTTCAGTGCATCGATAAATGAGCTTATATCATGGATAATGCGCATTCTTTGGTTTTAACTTGACAACGGTTTCCTGTCATCACATTTTTCATTTTGTCCATTCAGTTTTTTCCAAGTCACGCGAAAAAGCCAGCCAAAAATAGTCGAAACCAACGTCAACATAGCAACGAACATGTAGATAGGTGTTTGAAAAACCATGTGTAGATATTTACATATATACATACGAGAATACATACATATATATTTGTATGGAATGTATTATTCATTCGAACATGTTGCGGTGTGCTCTCATTTATGAAAGATTTTAGCGCGCGATACGAATACGCTGCAATTCTCAAATTGAAAAAGAAAATAACTGATGCTGATAGACCAAGAGATGTATGTTTAATACCCAAAAATGCTCTCGGTATCGCTCCCGAGTACCAGAGATATCACTAGTTGACAACGGGAGTCTTTCAAATGTGCAGAGAGTCTTCGTCATTGTTGCCAATAGGAAGAAGCAAAAACAAATTTCTATACAATCTGTAGAAACGTGTTATATGAAATATGGAATAGCTGCGAAAAAAGAAGGCAAACAAGCCCCCACACGCACATGCTATTATATATTATGTATTTCCAAGCATGTGAAAGCATTCCCGTTTTGTGTTGTGTGTTTGTGTTAAGTGAGAAATTCAAAAACATTTTCAATTTGTAGCAACAACACAAATGAGATTATATAGTTTTGCAAAAAGTATTATAACTTTAAGATTGAGTTAGCAACACATCGAAAGCCTCTTATTACAGATGAACAAGAAATTAGGACGTTCCTCTTCATAAGTATGTATCTCTATATAGAGGAAGTTCCTCTACATACACACAAAGATTGTACTAAACAGGTTTTTGTGAAACTTATGATGTAATGATCGATTAACATTGGTGTCTTCAATAGTACCATCATATTAATAACAAATTTAATTATTTTATTAAGATAATTTCTTTAAATAAATATTTTAATTTTTAAATAGGTCTTATATCACAGAACCGATATTAAATATTTGTATTCGTTCAGCTGTGCAAGAATTGATAAGAAAAAGGGGACGGCCTATCTTACAAAATAGCTTTCGTACGTATAATGTTAAAAGAGTATTTCCGCCTCGTCATAATGAAGGGGAATTATTTATTTTTTATTTCGTATTTTATTTAAAACTGTCCATCATGGACAATCATTAAATTGGATAAAGATAAACTTCACAGTTTATTATTTCATTTAGTATGTGGTTGTAGGAATTATAACTTAAAGATTATGTCGGAAGCCTATTACTTAAATTAAATAGAAATTATAACGTTCCTCTACATCCAAAAATTGTACTAAACAGATTTTTGTGAAACTTAGATGAAACTAAATCTAATGATCGATTTACATTTACGTGTGTTCGATAGTACCAAATTAAATTACTTTATTAAGTATAATATATATTTTCATTTTTAAATATGTATCCCATATCACAGAAACGTGGGCGGCCTATCTTACAAAATAGCTTTGGTAGAAATAATTTGAAAAGAGTATTTCCGCCTCGTCATAATGAAGATATCTTTCATTCTGGGAATGTATGTGTGTTATTACTAATCTCGTTCACCTATAGCTTTTGAAATATTATTCATACTTGTGCCGGTTCATCAGTTGCCCGTCAGACTTTTGAGTGATTTTAAATTTGTTCTTTGCATTATTTTTGACATTAGCCGCCGGAGACAGCGCAAATGATCTTATGACCAAATAATCATATTTAAGTTAAATTATAACTCGTGATTTTGACTAAAAACAATTAACATGTTTCGTTTCACTTTCGCTTTCAGCTCTGCAATTCCAATTGTTTTCGCAACCCAACTGCTTGGTGTATTTTTATCAAAGCCCGTTGTCGCAGCTGCTGTTGTCTTTATCCACATGATTTTACTTACATCAGGCCCTGATTGTTGCTTTTAATATTGTTTTTGCCAATATTAATATGCAAACTCCACCTGTGTAATATATTTACGAAAATACTTAACCAACTAACTTATAAACTAAATATTCGTCGCCATTTTGTCGTCAACTACGCCTCCAAGCTTATTGAATTTACTTTAATTTAATTAGCAACTATCTGCCCGAAGCTAGTAGAACCTAAAGGTATCTGCGCGGTGATGTCATGACCCATTCATTATACAGGTTGTTTAATCGCCCTGGCCTTGGCTCTAATCCGATAGTCAATTATTGTAAATGTCCATTAAGTCCTGCCGTTGATGTGCACTTTGATTAACAAGTTGTCGCCAAAGGCATCCAGTATGACGAAATTACTCGATTTAGACATGTGCGTCTGTATGAGCAGGGGTTTGAACAGCCAGGTCCTAAATACTCAGTATTCCATTCTTGTTTTCTAAGAAAATCCGGGTTACATTTAAATTTAAGTCAACATTTGTTGAAATTGAAAAAAAATGCTTTCGTTTCAACCAATTAAATGAACTCGAAATTTGGGCCGTTATTAGCTATGTTCTTCCATAATTTTGTAATTTTTTGAAAACGCGTCTGCTGATTAAAATTTCATGGTCTACTTATTCTCGAAGATGTTCTACAGCCTGTTTAAGCACTTCGTCGTTGAGGTAAAGCGGAAAGAATTTAATTCTGTTGCAGCATTTTAGGGATATTTAAAGTACTTTCAATGTAAATTTCCATTGTCGATCGAATTCGTTGAAGTTATTTATAAAAACACTGACAACCATGCCAAATTCGTTAGTCGCTTATTGTTCTTATAATGTTAAGCACAGCATTTAAAACGTCAACGGACTTAAAAGGAAAAGTACGTGACTTGAAAACTGTTTTGTAAAATGTAGTTTTTATTTATTTTCAATTCTATCGAACGCATTCAACTACGTGCTTCCTTTGCATTCTAGTCTGCCAGTGGAGGAATTGAAACTTATTTATAAATATTTGTTTTTGAATTTCAGAAAAAAATGCGAGCCCCACCGCTGCTGAATCTGGTGTTTGCCAATCGGAAATTATCCTTCTACGACACAAGTAGCGGACCCAAGCCCAGCGAGGACCATGGAAAGGGGTAAGTTCTAGAAAAGATCGCACTGAACTCAGCGCGATTGTATTCACTAAAAACTAAGAAAACAACAAATATTTACACATTCATTTACACTTCGCACTGCTCCTTTCACAACCCAACACACATACATATTTAAAAAAAAACGTGTTACACTTGAAGAAAAGGGCTTCTTAGAAGTCGATGTAAAGGTTTTGTCTTAGAAAGATTTTCTGAAGAAACGCATTTTTGTAATGCATTCAAAATGTACATATGTACAAGGATTTTAACTAAAAAAGTAGATAAATTGTTTTTCTTTAAGAGATGTAGGCTTGAGCGTAGGAATTCTGTACGTCTAGAAACATAAAAGATATTTTTACCCTTTTGTCATTCATATCTAAGTTGACTTTATTTGACTTTGATGTCTCGCTAGTTTCTCTTTTAAAAAAATAGGAATGTAACGCGATTAAACGATTTTAAACTGTATTGAATGCAAAAGAGAGCTCCCTAAAGCTGATGGCTCAGAAAAGAGGAGAAATTTAATGCTAGTAATGTGCTTTCTTGACCCGACTTTATTACTTTTCTACCCACCTCGGCATCCACATGCTATAGATGCTTTCAATTTGGAGGAATTCGGCACTTTTTCGACTGCTTTTGCTAAGTGTATGTTTAGATTTACAAAAGTAACTCTCATCTATTTATAGCACTCAAGTTGTAGACACTGCTATAAATAAACGCTGCTTACATTGTTTCCCCAACAAGTGATGACATATTCTAACGATATCTTGTTAAGTTTATTGGGGCAATTAGCGCGTTTCAACGGCCGAAGACAAAGCCAATAATGCCATAATACTGCTCAGAATCGCTTTTTAACATTTTGCATTGTGCAAACAAATTTTGCGAAAATATTTACCCTGCACTTGAGTAAATATTATTGAGCATTTTTCGGCGTGTACAAATCACATTATAGCGAGTTAATAGCGCGTGGCGTTTCGGATGAAAGCTCTGCAATTTGAATGTCCAAAATATCGAAATATGTTGCACACAATTCTATCCTTGTGGTCTGCTTTGCAGCTGCGCATTGTTTCTGGGTGTGTTCCCGGACCGTTTCCTTCAGCTATAGTGCATAGACGCTAATTGCGAACAATTCTGCGAGCCCAAAAATAAATTAACACATTTATTAAATGAAGATAAAAATCTGAATTCGCTCAATTTCGGTGACTGCCGCGAACTATAAAATCGTGGGGATAGCGCGTGAGGCTCTCTATTTGGCAGTTGTCGATTCAGTGTGTCTCTGTTGCTCCACGAGTTTGGGTTCCATTCGGATTTTAGTACGCAATTAGCCATGCCGCTGGGTGATCGTAGCTTGAGTTTGTTGCAATATGCGACCGAGAAGGCGCCCCTGCCACTAGATGCCTACACGGTGGAAGAGGCTGCCGAGTACAAGGAGAAGATACGTGAGAAAATTGTGAATGACCTGAAGTCGATGAGCAGTGAGGAACTTATAAAGTTGGTCCGAGAAAATGCCGCACGACAGGCACAAGAGGGGGAGTCGCCGAAGAGCGAGGCCGAGGTCGTGGAAAATGATGCCGATCTGATTGATGCAAACATTATAGCCGAAATGGTGTCGGGCCTGTGCACAAAGAGTCAGAAGGAGACGTTCATCAAAGTGATAACCAAATATATCAGGTAATTAGCGCTGAGTCAGCGAAGACGCGCCCCTTAACTGCTTTCCGATAAGCCTGACCACATCCAAAAATGGGTTGGACCCCCGACATGACGTTCTTAACAATTTCGGCCTATCAGGCGTACCGCTGGTGAAAGGAATTGGTGCGATTAGGGGTTTGGCCATGAAAGCATATACTCGTAACATTAGCATATAACTACGGGCTATAGTTGTACATATGTGTTGATAGGTAGGGCAGCTATACTTTTGTATACCCCGAACGCGAGTCTAAATACTCGTATTTGTCCAGCCAAAATTCATATGTACCTGTCCATTTGGACGTCTGGGATGTTGGCTGCTAGTGTATGGGGGCGCGTGTGTGCCAAAAATCGCACCTGTGGGCCCCTTTGGCACCGGTAGACAATGCGACCTGAACGCTATTAGAATACTATAACAAATACGATAAATACCAACTAAATGTGCATTCAAACTAATATACAATGGATGAAAAGCAGTTAAATTATTTATTTTATTGGCAATAGCATGATTTAGAAATTAACACCTTTTCGCCTTTTACCTGTCCGTCTGCCCATTTGCCAGCTTCTCCTTCTCGTCCCCTCTCCCAGAGTGCCTGCACCCTGACTGATACCAAAACAAAAACAAAAAATGCCAGCAATAAAAAGTCACACATTTCGCTCTATAAAAAAGATGGAGCGTTCGGCGTTGTTTTCATTAAGTCCGCAGCAGTTCAACGTTAAGCATTCGAAAGCAAAGCAGTAAAGGCGAGTTATAGAAATTATTGCGTATACGCCATGGTGTTGACAGAGGAAATCGAAGCACTAAAACGCCAAAGCCAAGATGATCAGGCCAAGGTGCGCGAGGAAACCTATAAGCGGGACAAAGAGCAGGACACAAATGAAACGGCTGCTATCATTGAGGAAATCATCGAGGGCATCTCTTTGCAGAGCCGTCGGGGCACAATTGTGCGAACCATTTCCGCAATTATCAGGTAAAGCTAAAGCGGAATGTTTGCTATAAATGGGAGATACCGATATGATAGCAGATGGTAGATAGAATCCAGATTTCAATAATTATTAATCGATGCAGTAATAAATTCATGAAACTATACAAACACACTCACACACCCCTAATGCACTCAGATAATACCAATTGGAGCTAATTTATCTCTCGAATATAATAAATTAAACAAATACAGCGATACTCTTTGATAGCTTGAACTAATTGAAATATTATCGAAAACGATTTTTGTGATTTCGACTTTGATTGTTTCGAAAACAAAATTTTAGAATACTCGATTTAAAAATTGAACTTGTCATCTTTTGCACACAATAGATCAAAAAGTATCGTTATATGTATATATTCCTAGTTCATAAAATGTTTTTCAATACTTTTAGAACTCAGAGACGCAACTATTCAATGCGACCGTGAGTAGCTTTTCTTACTCGTGTTCGTAGTGCTAGTGTTGCAGTTTCCCATTGCTTCCGATTTTGATTTTTTATTGAATTTGTCCCAATTAAGTAATATTCCTGCTTGCCTTAGACTGATTTTATTTTATTGCAAACTTTCAATTTATGAAGACACACTATAATTGAAGCCAATTGAGAATCCGCAAAAACCATCAACCATTTCAACTTTGATTCACAAGCTAGAATAAGTAATTGGTCGACATTGAAAATGTCATAATTTGGTCACCCAAAGCATTAGACGGATCTCTACATTTCAGTGTTCAGCAAAAATGTTGATCAATCCATCAATATTTAAGATAGCACGGTTTTTAATGGTGCCGAACTTCCAAATTCGCTCTACAAATACTAATATTTCGTGACTGCGACTTTACAAAATTTGACACATCGGGCCATTCCGATTGAGTCACAGATCAAGTTCGTAATTTTTGTTTATTTCGAAAAAGTCCATGCCGGTTGCCAGCCCATATATACTTGTAGTATAAAATTTATGGTGCTTGTATATGGGCTAATTAGAGCTCGATCTTCCAATACACGATTATTTAGCTGAAAACCACTTTTTTCCAAAGCCAGTTGGAAATCTGCCGGTGTTCGGTGTTTATTTGCTTGAAATTCAACTTTGCCTTCCACACACGCATGCTAAAAGGCAAAGAGTCGAGAAGAGGTCCACTCAGCATGTGTAGAATCTTTCGTTTAATTAGCGTTTCGCTAAATCTTTCACTTCATCGACGGAAGTATTTTGCTAATTGCATACTTAAAAATTGTTACTTCACACAGTCATCGGGAACAGGAGCAGCGCAATGCCGAGGATGTGCTCTTCGACATGTTCGCTAACGACGAGACTGGCCTTATATCTATGGGAAAGTTCCTGGCCGGGCTAAAGACCACAGGCATACGACGCAATGATCCCCGAGTGCGTGAGCTCATGGATAATCTGAAGAAGGTACACAAGCTAAACAACTACGAAACCGGTTCATCGGCGGAGACGCAGCATCTTAACCGCGAAACGTTCAAGGCGTAAGTATGGAATAGGATCTAACCTATCTAGTGCTTTTGCAATACTCCTTAATCGGGTTTCCATCCTATTCTAGTGTTGTCTCGCCGAACATTGTGCTAATAGCCAAAGCATTCCGTCAACAATTCATCATCCCAGACTTCTCGAGCTTTGTGAAAGATATCGAAGACATCTACTGGCGCTGTAAGAGCAACACCCTCGGCAAATTGGCCGACTACATTCCCCAATTAGCGCGCTATAGTCCCGATTTCTGGGGCGTTAGTATCTGCACAGTGGATGGACAACGTTTCTCTATTGGAGATGTCGAGGAGCCATTCACACTTCAGAGTTGCAGCAAACCTCTAACTTATGCCATTGCCCTGGAGAAGCTGGGCCCCAAAGTGGTTCATTCGTTCGTTGGCCAGGAGCCGAGCGGCCGCAACTTTAATGAGCTGGTCCTTGATCAGAATAGTAAGATTCGTTCAAGTTCGAGTAATAAGACATCTGTCTAAGCCTATCGTATTCGAATCTTACAGAGAAACCGCACAACCCGATGATCAATGCGGGCGCTATTCTCACTTGTTCCCTGATGAATGCCCTAGTCAAGCCGGATATGACCTCCGCAGAAATCTTCGACTACACCATGTCGTGGTTCAAGCGCTTATCGGGTGGCGAGTACATTGGCTTTAACAACGCTGTCTTTCTGTCGGAACGGGAGGCGGCCGATCGCAACTACGCTCTAGGCTTTTATATGCGTGAGAACAAATGTTTCCCCAAGCGCACGAATCTCAAAGAGGTCATGGATTACTACTTCCAGGTGGGTAATTCCGATTCAACCTGTGTACATTATTGCTAATGATTGTTGTCGTGCAGTGCTGTTCCATGGAAACTAACTGCGAGGCCATGTCCGTGATTGCGGCCAGCATGGCCAATGGTGGCATCTGTCCCACCACTGAGGAGAAGGTCTTCCGTCCGGAAGTTATTCGAGATGTGCTCTCAATAATGCACTCATGCGGCACCTACGACTATTCCGGTCAGTTTGCCTTCAAGGTAGGGTTGCCAGCCAAATCGGGAGTCAGCGGCGGCATGATGCTGGTCATACCTAACGTTATGGGCATTTTCGCTTGGTCCCCACCCCTGGATCACTTAGGTAACACCGTTCGCGGTCTCCAGTTCTGTGAAGAACTGGTCAACACTTTCAACTTCCACCGCTACGACAACTTGAAGCATCTATCGAACAAGAAGGACCCCCGCAAGCATCGATATGAAACGAAGGGTCTGTCCATTGTGAATCTGCTTTTCTCGGCTGCTAGTGGCGATGTCACGGCACTACGCCGCCATCGTCTCTCGGGTATGGACATAACACTGGCCGATTACGATGGACGCACAGCTCTACATTTGGCCGCTTCGGAGGGCCACTTAGAGTGCGTGAAGTTCCTTCTGGAGCAATGCCACGTGCCCCACAATCCCAAAGATCGGTGGGGTAACTTGCCCGCAGATGAGGCAGAAAACTTCGGCCATGCCGAGGTGGTTGCCTTTTTGAAAGCGTGGGCCGAAAAGGCTCCACAAGCCGAAGAGGAGTACAAGAACGAGGCGGTAACAACAACCACCCAAGCAAATGAGGTCAGTTCAATATGCGATGCCGAAAATCAAGATAAGCAAAACTGAATCAAGATGGTTTCAAACATTTCAGGAGATTGATAGCACCAGCGATCTGGATCGTAGCAACAATACCAGCCCCGTGCCGTCGGAGGCGGCCAGTACAGCGAGCGTAGCCAGTGCCACCAGTGATGACAAAACCAAGCCAGGATTATAGGATCTCCAGCGCTAGACCCACCTTCACCCGACCTTCTTTTGGAATCTCTCGTTTCTGCTTAAATTATTCACGAGACGATCCAGCTAGTACACAGTTTTAGTTAATTTAGTTCCTAATAAATCTAGATTTCTGTTCGATATACTTGTACATCTCTGCTGATTTGATCAACTCGAAAGTTCCCAAATGTACTATGTATATTTAGTCTTTAGTTATCAGGTTAATCTAGAAGATTCCTTTTTAGTTTATTCAGTTCTCGTTTTGCGCGAGTGTCCAACTATTCTCAACAATGACAATAATATTGATAATACCTATACAAAATAAGGTCAATGAGTCGCATCGCACATTAGCAGATTTTGCTTTTTATTTTCTGTGATTTATCAATATACATGTATATTACATTAGATAAGATGTCATTGACCTATATTTATGCACACCTACCTACATACGGGTACACACATATTATATCCACCTTCACGCGTATTACAAGTAATCAAAAAAGCGAAGTGGAAAACTATCATTTTGTGTACCCCTAGCTATTTGTAGTTTTACCAAATTTACCTGTTTATTGACACATACGGTTTGTATTTACTTAACTATACTATATGTATGTATTAACGAACAATAGCTATTGAGATATAAATATTTATGAGAACGTTTGAAGCACCCACAATAAATGTTTTTTCTTCAAGCGCTAACTGCTGTTTCCGGTAATCCTTTAACTGGGGGTTTCCTACCCTTCTATTAATGCAAGAGATCGAAATTTAATTGGGGCACCAAAAAGAATAATGCTGATTATAAAGAAAATTGATTCCAAGAAGTTTGTAATTCCTGCAAATGGCTTTGCAAATATTACAAGATCGTTGATTCTAATTTTGAGAAGTCTGTGGTTCGTGCCAATGGCTCTGCAAATATTGCGTCAGAAAATACTTTTTTTTTGATTATAAAGAAAATTGATTTCAATTTTGAGAAGTTTGTTGTTCGTGCCAATGGTTTTGCAAATATTGCATCAGAATTTTTGATTATAAAGATCGTTGATTCTATTTTGAAAAGTATGCTGTTCGTGCCAATGGTTTTGCAAATATTGCGTCAGAAAATAAAAAGTATTTTTATTTATTTATTTTTTTGATTATAAAGAAAATTGATTCCAATTTGGAGATGTTTGTAATTCCTGCAAATGGTTTTGTAAATATTGCATTAGAATTTTTGATTATGAAGATCGTTGAGTCTAATTTTGAAAAGTCTGTTGTTCGTTTCAATGGTTTTGCAAATATTGCGTCAGATGGAAAAGGTTTGTATTTGAGTAATATTTAAATATATATGGAGTATACATACAAGTATAAGCTAATGAGACTTTTTCAAAGCTCATTCAGAGATAGTTAAGAATGTTAGGTTTGCTTCACTTCACACGTGATTAACAAATAACTGAACTGAACAAATTGGATCACTTAAATGAAATCTTTTTTGTGTACCATAAACTAACAATTAGGAATAGCTTAGCCAACCAAATGACTTTGAGAGAAAGTTTTGCATGCGGAATTTTTACAAATGTTATGCGCACTTTTATCTAATAAGTATGAATCATATGAAAGTCATCTGTGCGCATGATATGGTATATCGCCATTCTCAATATTATGGGGAGTACACCCAGTACTAATTTGAATTTAAGCTGGGCCTGCTTGTGTACAAAACTAACACAGAAATGGAAAGAAAAATTAATTTTTAATTTAAATTCCTGAACAAATATTGGTTTTTTGGCAAATAATATGTATGTAGCCACATTTACATAAATTAAATGAGCTACATTTTCAAATTTCAAAATGCGGATTTAATTAAAATATATGTATATTCTTATACTAAATTTATAATGTGATACATATATACAAGTATATTTCAACTATGTATGAATTTATGCTCAACAGGTATGAAGGTGTTAAGAGCCCGCACTAAACTTTTAAACTTCCGAAACAATGTAACGAATATATTTTTTGATGAAAGCTATCACTTAAAGCTTTTTAAAGCTTTAGTGTTGAAAAGCTGTTCGCAACTACCGCCTATCAACGTCTCCTCCGCTGTGGAAGTATGCTGAATTAAAAATTCGGCATTCATAAAACTATACGAACACTAAATCAGTTGAAATAGTAATGTGCTTTACAAATTGCATAAATTATATTTGCTTATATTTTAAATTTTATTTTAAATTGAACAAAAAGTATTGAATATATTTCCCCGTACTCCATGGCATGCTAACCACTGTGCTTTGAGCTGCCGCTGCCTGGCTGTGGGACCCGACCGGACGCGGCTACCGAAACCGACACGAAAGTGGAAAACCCACACAACACACTATTCGCGTTTGCCGAGCAATGAGCGTCGGTTCTTGCTCCCCATTCGCCGTTCAGTTCGGGTCTGGCAGTCGTGGAGCGCGTTTCTTTGGAACTACGGGTCGGTTGTTGCACATTTTTGGATTTTGAGTGCAGCGGTCGAATTCTCCCATGCATCCGTGTGCATTTAATTAAATTATAAATCAAATTTCGTTCGCAACATAAAATGTCAATCAGATTTGGCATTTACGAGATTTGCGGTTTTTAATAAATTGGCGAAAACAAAAATCGAGCAACCGCAAATAAACAAAACGTCCCAGCAAGGCGCACAGCATTAAGGCTTGGGGTAGGTTCTGTATTTTCGTAGTGCCAACTAGAAAACAACAACAACAACAGCAGCAACAAGAACAAAAACAACAGCAGGCGCTTTGACAGCAGCCGCAGATACTGCAGCATCAGGCACTCAATACTCATATCCGGTTCCGACAAACACCAAAACCGTTAGAGAATGTGTCTGTGTGTGTGTGTGTATGTGTGTGAGCGGTTGTTTGTTTGTGTCTCTACGTGCGTTGAGCTGCAAAAGCTGTGCTGAAGTTGCTGGCTGGTGATGAAGTAAAAAGCAGCTTATAAAAAAAGAAGCAAATTCAACAACCGCTAAACGGATTATATAGTTTGTCTGTGCCAGGATATAGCCCATAAGCTGCAGTCAACTTCTCTCTGTGTATATATGTACGTGTATATGTGTGTGTGTGTATGTGGGTGGACTTTAAACAGCCAGCTTCCGTGTCAGTTCCGTGAGCGTCTACTCCTGCTTGAGAGTGTGTGAAGTGGAAAACTAATTGCTGCTCCAGCATCACTTCATTAACTTGGCAGCTGCCGCCCTTTTGCCAGAACCCGGACGCCCACTCGGCATTACTGAGCAAATGTGCAGGTACTGGGCGAGAGGTATGCTCTAAACATCATTTGCCTGCACACTTCAATGTTTTCTCAATTATTCCTCAGCGAATTAAAAAATTGCAGTCGCTCTTTCATTCACTGAAAGAAAAGGCACAGCACATCCGGCAATCTACGATTCGGATGACGCCATTGTTGCTCTTTTGTAAGTAAATTAAAATTTCGGATATTTATTTTGTCATACTCCGAGAAATACTTCGAGATATGCGTGCGGATGTGTGTTTCGGCTGCCACATTGCATAATGTGCCGCTTCCTCCCTGAGCGCGCCTAATTAGGTTGACATTTATCGGTGGGTTTCATAATATTGTTGCACTCACAGTCGTAGTATGTTGATAATGGAGAAGGCGGCGCATCGTCGTTCTGACACAATTGTCCACTGACTATGAGTTGCCTTCCCCGAATTAGGAGATACAGTCAGTGTTTTCTTTTATCTCCTCATTCACATCTTTCAGAATCTCTCTTGAACAAATGCTTTTTAACTGCTGGGTTTTAAACAAGAAATTCGAAACAAGACATTTTTCAATTTTAATTAGAGAACCCCAATTCCTTTCATAAATAAAAATGGCATTTGTCTAGGGATTTTATCAGGACTGGATAAAAATAAATAACGATTGCATTGTCAAATTTCCTCAAGCTACTCACATAGATCCATACAACAATCGCTTTATCAATTGCGTCGTCGTCTCCATCAAATGCCTAATCAATTTGGGAGGAAAATGAGAGCAAGATCGCTTGGAACGCAACATCAAAGCGGCTCGAGATTGACAAGCGATCTATGAAGTGTGATTAATTCCGCTCGCGTGTTTATTGCCGTTGGAAATTGGACTTCAGTTGTTGAGGCTGCGATGTCAGGTACAAGCTTCTGTCACCCAACACTTGGGTGGCACATTGCTGCCACAACATTCCAAAGGCCACAGCCGCCATGTGACAAAGCGCACAAGTCAATGTACAATAAACAAATACAAATAGTTAAACAATTGCATAGCAAACAAACACACCAATTTCACATAAATACCACAGATATCCACCCCAATACATTCCGCGTTTATACGAGATCTTCAAAGTTTCGATTTATCGCCCACTTATGCCCTAAATATCATTTATCACAATTTTGGAACTGTCGTGATGAAACATTGTTTGAAGGCTACTTTTTTGGACGCACACAGACAATATGACGAGACCGACCATGTCAGATGCGATATCATATTACTAGCATAAACACGATATCATTTAATAATAGCTTCTGTATGCAGAACTTGTTTAAGAGAATGTTGCAGTCATAGCTAAAGGATTTAGAGCACCCCTGGGTCTCCAATGTTGACCAAATACAAAAAAAAAAGTAAATGCTTTCTAATGAAGGATAAGATAGTACTAAAAAAGCATTAGCTTCGGTAGTATATGACCTGGTACTCATCTTTTAACTTATCTGGGTTATTTATTTGTTGCTTACTTTGCAAACACGCGTTGTATATTAGCTTCAAATTAACTAAACAATTTGAACAATTTTATCTAAAACAAAATCACATGAAAGCTGTTATATATACGAACAGTTTTTGACATTTTTAGATTATCACGTGGCTAGAAGGGCAAATATTTTTTGGAAGGCTAACAATCTAACTTATCTAATGGAAATGCTAATAAATATACTCGTATATAGTATGTTCCGTGATTGTGCTCTGTGCCTCCTTCATTCAGATTTCATTAACTTTAAACAAGGTGTTTTTTATAGCATGCTTTTTCTCAACACTAAAATGCGACTTTATTTATAATCTCTCATCACTTCTCTGTAAGTACATTTACGTACTTTACGAAAAATGTATGCTTAATAATTCAACTTCTGTCCTTAGTAGACACTCGGCTTGAATCAC